ATGGTGCACATAACTACTAATTTTCTCGTATACCCTTACAAGTACTACCCTTTATCAGTTTGCCTATATGAGTATGTAATATATACATTTTTTTAATTTTTTAATGAAAAAAATAATCGTTAAAAAAAAATAACTACATATATGTGTGTGTGTGTGTGTAAAAAAACTGTCTAAATATAGGAAAATACCTAACCGCACCGAGAAGGAATACGACTTGCTTTGGATTGCGAGAAAGTGCTATGATGGAGGTTACAGTGTTAGTCGTCCTACCGCTTGTATGTATTTACGTGTTCAGTACCAGATAATTACCGGATACTCCAATATGAGTTATCTTATTATTTTTTCACATATATGTTGTTTGTGAGGATTGTTTGTTAGTCGTCCTACCGCTTGTATGTATTTACGTGTTCAGTACCAAACAATTAAAGGATGCTCCAATATGAGTTATCTTACTAGCTTTCCACATATATGTTGTTTGTAAGGATCCTTTGTTTGATATCAAACCGGTAGTGAAAGGTTATAGTGAGGGTCAACCTATTACTTATCACTTTGAAAAGGGTCATAGAATACCCCAATGAGAGTTGCTCTACTATTTGTTCGAGACTAGCACGACTTCGTATGAAGGGTGGTGGGGTGCTCCAGTGTAAGTTACTCTATGTAAGTTACCCTATTGTTTCCTTTAACCTATGGTTTGTCTGGTATTGGAAGAGTGGCGGGATGCTCCAATGTGCGTTATCCTACTACTCGTGTAACTTCAAAGTGATGTAAAACTATGTTGACTACGTAGTATTGAACAAGATGTAAATGACTCCAGTGTGAGTCATCTTACCGTTTGTGTGTGTGAAGGTTGTTTACATGTTCGTCTTTATATATACATATATAATGACAACCTTATAGTAGGCGAATAGTAAAATAATAACTCCGGTGTGAGTAATACATGTCAAACCAGTAATAGGAGGTTCTAGTGTGGGTTCCCCTATTACTTGTTTGACCCTGGTTTGATTGAAATTGAAATGCGTTGCATGTGATTGAAAGGTAGTAATGTGCTCAAGTGTGAGTTATCCTACTGCGTGTATGTCTAACAACTATATAAATATATAAAGTATGATTGCTTATAGTTTATCCACGTATGATTTATTTGTCTAAAATCGAACCAGTAAGAGGATACTTTAGTGAAGGTCATTTTATTACTTGTTTAAACTTGGTCTATGCAATATTCGAAGGGTAATAGGGGGCTTTAGTGAGGGTCATCCTTATACGTACTTGAATCTAAACTAATTAGTGTTGAAAAAGTAGACGGGTATTTTAGTGTGAGTCATTCTATTGCTTGTTTCCTACTTGTTTATCTACAAATCTGCTCGTTTAACATTAAACGGGTAGTAAGACATTCCAGTGACGGTTATCGTATTACATATTTGAAGTTAGACTGTGTAGTATTCGAGAGGTAGTGCGAGGCTCCGGTGTAGGTCATCCTATTACTGACTTGAAGTCTACACTAATTTATGTGAAGTGGTTTAGTTGGTTGAAGTTAAACAAAGACTGAGATATTGCAATGTGAGTTATCCTACTGTTTGTTTAGTATTGAAAGGCAGTGGGGCATTAAAGCGTGAGTTATCCAACTACTTCCTGAAATGTAATTATCATAATGTTTGTGTGTATGTGGATTAAATGTTACTGAAAAGGTCGTTGGATACTCAAGTGTGACTCATTTGACTAATTGTTTTGATTTAGACTGCCGCGTATTGATCAAGTGGTAGAAGATTCCAGTGAAAGTCAATTTACTGCTTTCGTGTGCCCAAACAAATAGGAACGGAGAAAAATAAAAGAAAAGATACTCGAGTAAAATTTGTTTAGTTGTTTGTTATAGTATAAGTTAATTTGGTTCATAAAGCAGTAAGATACAAACTCCAATATGCGTTGTTTTACTGCTCAATGGAATCCAAAATGAGTAACATTAAAAAAAGTGGTAGGATAAAGACTCCGGTTAGAGTCTTCATAATAGTTACTTACATTTATTATGAATAGACTAAGATTCCTTAAATCAAATGACTCTCCCTTATATATGATCTGATAGGAAGTATGAGAGACTTATCACTATCATATCGTCCTTTGTAAAACTTGAAGTTCGAATTACTGAACTTCAAATAGGATAATGTGATAACAAGGGTGTAAAGACTGCGTTGACATGTATGTGATAATATGACATTTAATTGATAAATTGTTCCAAGGAGACATGCAATGAGTCAATACAATACTACATTCGATTTGCTCACTCGACACACACTCACCCTCGACACCCATATTTTGCATCGACCCTTGCACTAAAACACATTTCTTATTTTTTTGTCATTGTTTAAACGGTCTATTTTTGTAAAAAAAAATCTTAAATGACCAAGATCAAATGCCACTGAATGACTAAGTCGAAAAAAAATTGTCTGACTGTAAGAGGTTTAAAAGTGGAAGTATAATGTGAGTGAAACTGAAMAAAAAATTGACTCAAATTTTTTTTTTTTTTTTTTCAGATCAGTTAAACAATCATCCATGCTCTATTTACAACATAACTTATATTGACAAAATTATGCTCATCTGGGTCTTGCCTCGCACATTTCAACAACGAATAACTTTTACACATTTCGTTTGGATATCAATCTTGGTTTTTTCTTGATGTTAAACAAACTGGGATCTTTGGTAGGGTTAGAAACCTTACACATTTTATATTTAATTAAAAGGTAGTAAACCTATCTTTATTTATGATGTATGATTGAACGGTCGAAAATCTATATTTGTTTTATTCAAAAAGTAAAAAAAAATTGCATTGTTATGTTTGTTTTTGTTTGTGTAAAAAAATATAAAAATATCTTATTGCCTTTAAATCTAAACTTTCAAAGTTTGTTCATTGTATTTGTATTGATTATAATTTTTTGTTGTCAGACACGAATAAATTATGGGTTGAGAGCAATAGGTTAGGATGTTGTATGTGCGAAAGTTCATTAGTCAAGTCGACCTGCATCGTGAGTCGATCCGATAAATCAGCGCCTTGATGCCCGATGAAAATATAGGGCAACCTTAGGTGTTCTACAACGCATATACTTATGTTGCAACGATCGAGAAAACGCCCTCAGTCGACTTACCTCTGCAATTGCAAGTAAAAACCTTCACACATAAGTTAGTAGCTCAATAGGGATACGCCTACCTAAGGGTGATGACAACCCCTCAGGTAGAGGTAAGTTGTACCTCGCGGAGCTCTGTCCTGTCGCAGGGAGTCGTGAGAGGTATAGATGGTGTGCACAGTTGGGGTGGTATCTACGTTGACTCAATGGAATACCTTACTCCTGTGTGACACAACCGTGAGGTCCGATACTTACTGTAGGGGGTGGGACCGTCGTGCCCGACATCGCCCGTCTACCATCACATTCATCATTGATTCATCATGGACTCGTGCAAATTCGAATCCATTTGAACCCGCAAATTGACAAAATATGTGCAAAACTAGAACATCAAGCTTCCGACAATCGATCGCTTCCTTGCACCTTTTTTTTTTTTTTTTCCCCTCTGTTTTTTTTATCCCCACCTATCATTCCCTTCGCCCACCGTTGCGCCTGCCCCCCGATCACTGCTCCCAACCCTGCCACCATTTCGAGGGGTTGAGCAACAACCGCATATAGATGCGTCTTGCAGTTGCCATTGTTACGAGCACGTGACAGACTCCTCAGTCCTTCCACATCCACCACTACACGTCGACTATCACCTTGCTTTCGTCTAATACCTATCCACCGTACACTGTATCCATCCCTATGCCAGAGAAGGTTTATTCCACTTGCTTTCATTTTCTTTCCTTCTTTGCACGTGCGCCTCCACAACCGAAAAAGAACGATCGGGAAAGAAATCAAAGCGAGGCGATGGCGGACTTTGCCTCCTTTGTTTTTGTTCCCCCCTTCCCTCCGCAAAAACCGAAGTGCACACCTGTTTCAAACGACCACCAACTCGAAAAAAAAAGCCTAACAAACCCCGGACGCTGCCCTCATGCGTCCTCGTTCGACCGATCGTCATGACTGTCGGTCACCCTGCCTACCGGTCCCTCCCCGACAGCGACCGTGCCCTTCCAGTGTACCTCTCCACGCCCCATAAACCCCTTTACTGTAGATGTTGCCAAAAACAAAGGAGACTTGCTAAACAACAGAAGTGCAACCGGGGTAAGCGCAACCTCCTGGCTGCGAACAAAAAGGTCCAATGGGGAAAGGTCTCAGCAGTTGAGAAGGACTAACCGTAGATAAACTGTTGAAGTGATTAGCACCGTCCGAGGCGCAATGCCTCCACCTTCCACTCCAGGTGCAGCCCCACCCCTGCAAACTCTCCACATGCAGAAAAGCCAAATAGTATGGTGATGTATGGGGAGAGTTCCAGGTTTGGTTGCTGTTCACCCCTACTATACATAGGCTTGGATCCCACAGCTGGTACAAGGGCGACCCCACATGGTACCGGGGCATCTGGGCCCTCAAAAAAAATCTCCTGTTTCTACTCTTTCACGGCGAATGGCCGTGAAGCAGCAACGGTTTCCCCAAAGCGCCCGCCCCTACCCTTACCCCCAAAAGCCGGCACGCTGAAAGTCGCTCTTTTTTACTTTTTTCTTTTGGGATAGGACCAATACCCACCGCTTTTCGCCAGACTCCTTGTGATAGCCCTGGAAGGACGGACCTGTGGGATTCAAAGGGAAAAAAAACGGACGGAAAGGCAAGGACCCCGCTTTTCGATTTATGCGTGTCATCCTTGCGCAGGGGCCATGCCTTGTGGGATCCAAGCCATAGAGTAGCGAGAGGATGAGATAGATATCGAAAAATATATACAAAGAAGATTGAGAGAAGTATATATAGATTAGTTCTTATTAAAAAAATATGGTGATGTCTCTTTGCATGTTCTACTGGGAGATTCATTCTGAATTCGCACATTTGGTGAGTAGCGGAGCGAAGAGTGGAGCGTGGCGGAGCGAGACACTATCGCGGCTTCCTGGACTGTCGGCCAGTGAGAAGAAGGGGCAATAAGTTCTCTCACAGAGAGAGAGAGAGAGAGAGAGAGAGAGAGAGAGAGAGAGAGAGAGTGCAGTTGGCTGCAGAGCTCAGCAATAGCCGACGTCGAGGAAGGAGGATCGCCTAGGGGCCGTCTGCCGGAGCAAACCAATAAGTTTTGCATTGCTGTAATTAAAAGTTATCCATCGCAAGAAGATTAAGATGCCACGATATGCCCAGCTTGTCATTGGTCCAGCGGGCTCTGGAAAGGTCGATCGACTTCACATTTTTCTGGCTTGCTTCCGCCTCTCTCTCTCTCTCTCTCTCTCTCTCTCTCTCTCTGTGTGCTCTTGCCAATGCACGCTCGAAACAGATCTCTCTCTCTCTCTCTCTCTCTGTCTCTCTCTGTCTCTCTCTCTCTCTCTCTCTCTGTGTGTGCTCTTGCCAATGCACGCTCGAAACAGACTATAAAGCCGTTCGAAAAGCACATTTCGCAGACACACGCATACGGAGACCCAGACATACCCACACAAACAACCTCCTGATGAGTCGGTGAAAGTCCGACGAAACAGTCTGTCACAGTCATGCTTTTTTTTTGGGGAGTTGTGAGCAGCGAAAATGACAACACGCACACACACACACCAACATGAGAACACACACACACACACAAACACGCATAGTGGGAGAGAGAGAGAAGTACACACGGATTTTTGTTTGAGGTTAAGCGACGTGAGGTTTTGAAACTGTGTTGAAGATTTTCATGCGTACGCTCATCCTTAACAGGCGCAGTTCTGAATATGCTCGCGCTCGATTCTTCTCCTTGTCATTGGCACCGATCCGATCGTCCTTGGTGTGCCTGTTTCTGACATGTTTGCATTCCGCTATGGCCTCTCTCTCGCTCTCCCCTGTTCCTCCCGACCCCTCCTCCCCCCTTCCCCCCTCCCCTCCCGGCTCCCCGCCCTGTTCCTTGACCCCTGTATCTCCCTCCTTCCCTCAATTACCCTTTCTACCCCCCGACCTTAATTGTCTCCGGTATCGGTGATTTTGCCACGTAATAGGAAGGGTTGCGGATCCTTTCTACCAATAATAGAAAGGGTCGCGGATCCTTTCTACCAATAATAGAAAGGGTCCGGATCCTTTCTACCAATAATAGAAAGGGTCGCGGATCCGTTCTACCAATCATCATCCGAATTACGTGGTTTTTGGATGATGAAGTTAGGGGCCCATCAGTAGGAAAAGAAGAGAACCAAATTTTTTTATTTATTATTATTACTATTATTTTTTGGCTTTTCCTAAAGGAGAAGAAAAGTGCCAGTGCCTAAACAAACAAAAGACCGAAAAAAGGAAATGGCATGCCTCGGCTGTTTCTGCCAAAACGAACCAGGGGCCTTATCAGACAGATACCCCCCCCCCTTGGACGTTACTATACATGAATGATTGCGTCCTTGTCATCAGTACGCTTTGCCACGAAATTCTATCAAGTATTGATTAGACAGATGGATGGAGGGAGGGCGGGAGGGAGGGAGGAGGGAGGGGTTGGGTTGGTGTGTTGGCTGAATAAGGCATGACATATCCGCCACGTGGCATGGCCATATGCGCCACGTGGCATGACCATATGCGCCACGTGGCATGACAATATCCGCCACGTGGCATGACGATATCCGCCACGTGGCATGACCATATCTGCCACGTGGCCGTATCTTCCACGTGGCGCGTAATGATTGATTGCTGTCGTTCACGTCGTCGTGGCACGAGAAATTGAGTGAGCGATCTCCCTCAGCGCTGTCGCATCGATTCCCGATCGATTGATCGATTAGATCGATTCGACTGTCAGTCTTTCCTCAGCGCCGTCCGAACGATCGGTTAGCCAGTTGGTCTTCGTAAGCGCCGTCTGATCGATTCGATGGGGTGGAGTAATGAACGCGCGTGCACGTGGCGGGCGGGAGAAGCTGCCACGTGGCCGCCGGCTGCGCACCCCGGCAGGTCTGATCTTTTTCGAATTTGAAGAGCACGACGACGGCGATGGACTGTTTCACGACGGTGATCGTGATGACTGTGTGGTGTATTACGCTGATGCATTAACGTCTGCTATGTGTACTTCGGACCGCCCAATCGATCGGACGATCAGGGTATTGAAGAAATAGATGATGATTGTCATAATGATCGTCGTCATCATTATAATGATTGTCATCATCGGTGTGATGGATCTGATAGCTGCTACTTTCTTTGCTGCTGCTGCTCCCACTGATGACGATGTGATTGGTCTGATGGCTGCTACTTTCTGTGCTGCTGCTGCTGCCACTGATGATGATGATGATGATGATGATGATGTCGATGATGATGATGATGATGATGATGATGATGATGGTGATGACAATCCCCGTCGAATCATCATCATCATCATCATCATGGGGGAGCAGCAGGAGCAGGAGCAGGAGGTAGGATTGGGATCCCATGCATGGGTATGGAGGACGGCAGAGTTTTGGCGGGTGACAGAGGCGCAACACCAACGACAGCTCTCAGGATCCCAATCCCGATCCTTACCTCAACGCTTTTCAGATGGCTGGAATCGGAAGCACGGGGCGGTCGTGGTTTGTCGAAGATTGCGTCAGATAAGCACTGTCAGTGATGCTGATGCTGATGCTGATGCTGATGATGATAATGATGATGATGATCGGTCATGATGATAGCGATCGATGATGATATTACGCGATGATGATGACCATGACGACGATGAGGATGAGGATAGGATGATTGATGAGAATATGGGGATCAATGAGGATGATGATCCATGTCGCAGTCGGAGGATGCGAGGATGATGATGATCGATGATTGATGATTTGTGATCGATAACCGATGAGGATGATGATGACGGTCCATGATGATGATGATGATGATGATGTTGGTAGTCGATTTCTCAGTTTCGGTGTCTAAGATGATGATGGCGGCGTATCAACTGAAGCCACGTGGAGATCGACTGCATATCGAGAAGTCCTGGAAATTTGAACCCGATTTCTCCGAAGAGAAAAGGAAAGAAGAACTAGCCGCCGAGGCTACCCTTCTTCACTGGAATACAACGTACGGCCAGTATAGCTGTATTTGGGGTATCTTTCCGTCTAAATACTGCAATAAGAACTGGCCGCCGAGGCTACCCTTCTTCACTGGAATACAAC